CAGAAGTTTTGCGATTTGTGGCAATGAAACTTTCTTGTCGTTTAATTTCGTTGAATAGAGATTATTAGTTTCTCATAAGTCTCTCCGACGACGACTATAAAATGTGAAATTTTATTACAGTTTCATTTCTATATAATAATTGAGTAAATAGATCAGAATTTATTAATTTTTCCTCCCAACAGTAACACTAAAGCACTACTTTATCCGCTCCCCCTAAAATGAGAGAATTTCTAAACTTCTTCCTCATTACTCGTCTTCTCTCTTCTTATTTACATATCTTTGTTTTATTTTTATTCATTTACAGCTAATCAGAATCTTTACTATCTTTGAATTTGTTTCTTTTGCTTCTGTATTTATCTGTTTACAACTTTATATCTTGTTTCCTCATCCTATTACAATTTTTTTAGGTAATGTTCTTCTTATTGTCATTACTTTTCTTCTTGTTATTTTTAAGTCTACTTCTGCCACAGATTCAATTTCTTTTTCTCATTTTCTCTTCATTTATTTACAATTTTACAGCTATTTTTAAATTTACATTCCAATCAACTCCTATTTATGTGTTGTAATATTTCTTCTTTTTGTCTTTCTCACTTTATAGTTTTTTTTTTTTGTTATATTTATGCTAATTCCTTTTCATTTTCCTTTTCTTCTTGTTTTTTTATACACTTGCGTTTAGTTTTTAATTATTTACTCCAGTCTTTTTAAAATTATTTAGCGTGCTTCTATTGCTTCTCTATTTATTTTTTGCCTTTTTTCCTTATTTCGTTATTACTGTTCTACTTTTATTTATCTACAAGTATTTATTTCCTTTTTTAAACTGTCTTTTCTTGCTTCTCTATTTACTTGTTTTCTCACGTTTTCATTTACGTATTTTTTTATATCTAAATTTTTTATTCTCTTTGTTTTTCATACTCTTTCAGAGTATTTCGATTTATTTGTAACTATTTAGTATGTCTAATCTTTTTAAAATAATTTAACGAGTATTTTTTTGTTTCTCCCTTTATGTTTCTTTGTTTCTATGTCCCCTCAGACTTTTATTTTTATTTCTTTGCTTCTGTGTCTGTAATTTTTAACTTCTGATTCAGCGTCTACTATTTTCATGCTATTCTTTCTCAAAATCTTCATAATTTTTCTTAATTTCATAATTATCTTCATCATGTTTTGCCATAGTATCATTTTTTTCGGTATTTTTATTTACGTATTTCTTGTATCTAAATTTCTTATTCTTTCTGTTAATTTTTACACACTTTCGGACCATTTTAATTTATCTGTAGCTATTTATTATCCTTAATGTGTTCAAAATACATAATTTAAAACGTATTCTTTTTTGCTTCTATAACTTTATAGTTTTAATACTTTATTTGTTTCTTATTGTTATTATTTGTTACGTCTGATTCTTTATGTCTATTGCTCTGTTTTGGTTTCCTTCTGTTGAAATTTTTCTTTTGCTTACCAATCATTTATTCCACTTCTACTACAGCATCAGCTTATTTCCCTTTCTCATTTTTCGTTTTGTTTATTTATAAATATACCTGTCTTTTTCATTGCTGTTCAAGTGTGTTTTAATTTTTTTTCTTTTGGTGTCTCATTCACTTTATTAGTGTTTTCTTGCCTTCTTTTAAATTTCTTATATTCTCTGCTTTTTATACACTTTCGTTCTATTTCTATTTTTCTACAGCTATTTACTTACTTCAGTCTTGTTTTTTGCTTCTCCATATATGAAATTTTTCAAGTTTTCTTGATGTGTTTAAATTCAATTATTTTGGTAATTTTTATTTCTAAATTTTTTTTTTGTTTGCATACTCTTTCGGACCGTCTTAACTTATCGCAGCTATTTGTTATCTCTAATATTTTATTTTTTGCTTTTCTATGTTTCTTTGTTTTTATGTCTCTTCATACTTGTATTTTTATTTCTTTGCTGTTTATTTTCTGTCATTCCACTGCTTCTGCTTCCTACTTTCATATTCATATTATTTATTTCTTAAGTTTTTCATATTTTTTTAAATTTCATGTTTTGCTTCAGTATCAAACTATTTCGTTTTTTCTTCTTGAATTTATTGAGTTTTTGCTGCTACATCGATTACTATAACCTCAGGCGCTATAATTTCGCCATTATCTCGGCTATTATTCTAATATTCTCCCATTCAAAGCACTAAACTGTTAAATGCTTTTATATTCTCAACAAATAGTTTTTACAACAGCCAATTTTACACAAAAAAGTGTACAATACGCGTAACAGGTACCTGAGGATACTTAAGTGTGTTATTAAGTCATAAAAGAGCCTCCGGGGACCCAATAAACTCATATACATACACAACAAGTGAAAGTAACGCAATGTAATGGATGATTTAATGCGAGCAAGCCTTCGGCGACACAAACAAGATGATAAAATTTGTCCATTTAGCATAGATTCAAAACGATATTAAAGCGTACTTCTTGCGGTACCACTTACGGATCACGACATGTGTTTGATGGTACCTCTTCTACACCATTTTTGCATAATTGAAGACCCACAAAGAGATGATACACCGTTAGTTGAGGTTTTGTTTTCGCTAATTGTGCTACTAACGGGAATTTCGAGATGAAAGGGGTGAGATTTGAAGCTAATGAAAAATTTTGCAAGGAACGAATCGTTCCTCGAAGACAAACACTTCCTGTTCTTTTTGCGTACAGTTAGGAATCAGGTATTGCCTTTAATTGACCGATGCGTGTTAACAACAGTTAAGTCGGTGCACGCATACTCTGCTAAACGTTTGATGGAGAAAAAAGGCACTTTGAAGAGAGCGTTTCAGGTTATGAGGAATTTTGAAACTTAATTAAATTGTTTAATGGAGAAATGTCGGAGATGAGAGATGAAAGTGACAGAATTTATTCAATTTCAATGCTTGACTGGCGGTTTTAATAACAAAGCTTTTTTTTTGGTTACGGTTTTAGTGAAATTGACAGGCAGTAATAACAATTTTTCTACAAAAAAAGCAAAAGGCTATGTTTTTCATTCTATCACAATTCTTTAAATTAATATTGGTAACAATTTACTTAATATAAGTATAACAAATTTTATTATGTACAGTCGACAGCAAAAGTAGTGTCACAGAAGAAGTGAGACAATTTATAATTTTTAATAGAAAACATTACAGTTGAGTCATTTTTTATTTGCCTCGTTTTTTAACTTAAAAATAAATAAAAAAGTATTCAAAATTAGTTTCCAATTTTCATTTATTTGACGTCAATACATCCATTTTGAGTTTATTACGTACAGTCACTAGCAAAAGTAGTGTCAGAGTTCTTACTTAATTTTGGAGCTGGCTGTACACGTATATATTATTTCATTAATTTTGAAACAGTCGCACACTTATTTTGTTTTATTTTGCGTACTTTTTTATTTTGACAAATAAAAATAACAAGACATGATTTGCCAACTTAATTGTCATTCTATTGTTTCTTAATTTTGGTTTCTCTGTGCCTGTTCCGCAGTTAATTATCCATTTCTTTTTTTTAATTTATCTTTTCACTTTTCTTTGTAAATTTGTTTTAATTTTGTTCGAGGCGAAGTTAACTTGAAAAAAAAAATGTGTACAACTAATTCCAATTACAAAAAAAAATTACCAAAATTTTATTATTCTCAATTAATTCCTGTAATTCCAACTTAATTATCGTAATTACAAAATAATTCTTCAATTGAAAATTAATTCCGATAGTTTTAAAAAATTCAACGTAATTTTCAAAAAATTAAATTATCTCTGATAATTGCAAAAAGAATTCTAGTACCAAAAACATTCTAGTAATTCAAGAATAATTTTAGTAATTTACTAAAATTCCGGTAATTCAATTCCAGTAATTCTATTATTCCATAGTAATTCCATTGTTTTTTGATTAATTCGTACAATTTTAAATTAATGTCTGTAATTACAACGTAATTCCAACTTGATAATTTTAGTAAATCCAAAAAAATTTTGCAATTTCAAAAAAATTCCAGTAATTTACAAATTTCGATAAGTAATTAAAAACAATCCACCAAAATTCAATTTCAATAATTCTATTGATTAATATTGGATTCACCGTAATTCCATAGTTTTCAGATTAATTTCTATAATTCTAAACTAATTCTTATAATTACAACTTAATTCCAACATATAATTTCCGTAATTCCAAAGTAATTCCGGTAATTTAATTTAGTAATTCTATTAATCCATCGTAATTAATTAATTCCAACTTAATTTTGTAGTTTTAAAATAATTTCTATAATTCCGAATTAATTCCAATAGTTCCAAGAAATTCAACATTATTTTCAAAACAAAAATATCTTTGATACTCGTAATTTCATAAAGAATTCCAGTAATTTCAGAAAAATTTCACCGAAATTAAATTTCAGTAATTTTATTAATCCAGTGTTTTCAGATAAATTCTTACAATACCAAATGAATTCCTGTAATTCCAACTTAATTTTCATAATTCTAAAATAATTCCTGTAATTTAAAATGAATTTTAAAAAGTTTAACGCCATTTTTAAATGAAATTTGCTGAGAAGATTCTAAAAAAAAAGCGGTAATTCCAGTAATTAAAATTATGGTGATTCCAGACAATCCAAAAATAATTTTAATAATTCCAAAAACTTCCAAATAATTCCAGAGTTAACGGTCCCTCGATTTTTTTGTTTCTATAGCCACATTTTTACTGTTTTTCTAATTTGTATTGCCACTTTTATGTTATTCTATCATTATCTTAATTTTGTTAGAATTAATTGTTCCATTTAATTCTTTCCTCTATTTTTATGTCAAACTTCCTGTGTTTTTTTTCAAAGTTAATTCACGTGTTTTGAAATTGTTTACTTTTATTTTTTTAACAGGAAACAAAGGGACACTTTATTCCCTCGTTTTGACAAATTTAGTCTGATAGGGGAAATGGCCTACATTCTCGGGATTAAAATAGTTGTTTATTACCTTGATACATAAACAACCATTATTGACTTTTATCTTTAATAACATATAATTTTTTTGCAGCTGGTGATATCCATTGCCTCCCATGATGATAATCATGGACAGCGTGGTGATCCCCCGTCCTCCGGCCCTCCCGCCGGTGCCCCTCGTCCCTCCTAGTGTGACAAGCACCCCTTCCGGTTTCCGTCTAATGGAAGACCAAGGCGATACCGGAAGTGTCTATTCCATCTACAAGCAAAAAATCGACGCCATGTTTGAATCCGATTCAAGTACCAATACAAAAAACAGCGTTCAAGCACAAATTGAGAAAATGTTTAGTGACGTAGCCCAAGACAATGGTATTATTCTAAGTGATGGGACAACCCATCGTTTCTCAGTCGATTATTTGGGTTCGGTCGGTTTAACCGATAAAGTGACAAGTCTAGCCGGACTACAAACCCCTCTTAAAGAACTCTATTTTGCATATAAAAGGACGACGAAATTAAAAAAGACTCTAACCGGAAAATTAGAGATTTCCGGTCAAGGGCTGAAAGTGCAATATCAAGGGGAGAAAGGTGATTTGGAACAAATGAATTCGTTTCCGACCATTGCTGTGTGGTCTGCGGTCAAGTTTGTGATACAAAAAGGGACAAGTTACGCTTTTTTGCCACTGATTACCGATCCTGATAATATTGATAAGAAAGCTCTGTTCCGGGAATTGACTGATAACGAGAAGAAATTCATCAATAGTGAGACACATTCACCACTTTTTGCCGTCGTTATGCGCAAAATAGGCCTTCAGAAGCAATTAGAATGCCACGGGTGAGTCCCCCAAACCCTACAATTTCTCCTTAACTCAGTTTTTCCCCCAGTTTTGTGTGTCAAACTTCCGAAGATGCCATCGTCATCGCCGCAACTCTCTACAAGTCGCTAATGGCCCACATGAAAGCGAAGGAAAAAAGACCGAAAAACCGAAACGGAATCACTTGTATATCGACTACTTCGAGCGTTTTTAACGAAAAATCGGTCCCAATTCGGCCCCCACGAAAAAAACGGAGCACTACTTCATCCATAATTAGTGAAACTGAACAACAAGATGTAAAAAAAAATCATTGTTTTAGTTAATTATTCAGAAATTTCTGTTTCAGGTCTCTGATACTCAACCCCTAATCCAGAAAAAGAACGTCCGGAAAAGTATTAAATCGCGACCGGCCCCCAAAACCCCCGACTTTGACGCCATTTTGCCGTACGAAGAACCGGTTAAACCGGAAGAAATCAAACCGAAGACGTTCTCAGATAAAATCAATACTTTCATGAGTCGGGAACAGAAACAAATCACAGCAGAAATTAAACAAATGATGACTGATAAGGTGAAAATGGCGGAAAATAATGAAGGAAACAGTTTAAGGAAAAAGGATAATTCGGGGGATATCCTGACTAAAGTTACGATACCCAGATCGGGGAGTTTCCTTAACGCTGGGGGATTAACGCGGTATAAATCGAAAGTTTCAAGGTAAGAAAAGTGCTTTTTTTAAACTTTTCTAGGAAACAAACATTGCCTTTTTTCTAGTCTATTTGTTCCATTCTGTCTCACTAATTTTTTAAAACTTTTTTTCAAAAATTCGATCAATTTATATGTTTATTATTTCTGCCTCTTATTTTTGGCGTTTTACTCCATATTCAAACAGAATTTTTGAAAACGCTCCTATTTTGCTATTAAATTCTAGTAAATGTTTATTTCTTCTTTTTCATTTGTTTTATTATTGTTCTTCGTTCTAATTAATATTGTCAAAAAAATCTTATTTATTTTTATCTCAAAAAGATTATTCTTGTGTAAAATTTCTATCTTGTTTTTATTTCCGTAGCTTTTTTGTCCTTGTTTGTTTCTTTTTCCATTACTTATTTTTACGCTCATTCATTCTTCTTTCAACTTTTTTATTTCTTTATCAGATTATTAGTTTCCAAAGTTTACTTTCTACCATCTTTTGTTGCAAAATATATATCTCCGTCGTCTATCGTGTTTTCTAAGTATTTCTGCATTTCTATTTTTAATCTGGCTTTAATACTTCTTTCTTACTGTTTCAATTTTCTTATTTTAAACTTTTTTTATTTCCTTTTGCTTTCAGCATCTTATTTTTAATTAAATCAAAAACTTTATTCCTACATCATACATTCTGTTTTTGTTTTTAGTTGTTTGTTTTGTATTTTGCTCATTCAGTTTTGCTTAAATTCAATTTTTTTTTTCGCTTATTCATTATTTTTTTTTGTATTTCCTTTTCAGATATTTTATACAGATTGATGAAGTTTTTTAGTTTTGTTATGTTTTTTTTTATTTATTATTACTATTTGTCTTTTTTACGTTTTACTTGTTTCTAATATTGTTTCTACTCCTATCGTTCTTTCGTTTATTTTCGAAAATTTTTATTTTTTTTTTATTCTAACTCGTACTTAAAATATTATAAAAAATCTTATTTAATACAATTAAAAATCAAAAATTTTATTATTATTCTTGTGCATAAATTCTATCTCTTTTCTATTTCCGTAACTTTTTCTTGTCCTTATTTGCTTCTTTTGTCTTTATTTATTTTTACGCTCATTCATTGTCTTCTTCAACACTTTTTTATTTCTTTTATCTGATTCCTAGTTTCCTAAATTTACTTTCTACCATCTTTTGTTCCAAAATATTTATCTCCTCGTCTCTCGTGTTTTAGGTCTTTTTTCTAAATATTTCTGCATTTCTCTTTTTAATCAGACTTTAATGTTTCTTTCTTATTGTTTCAATTTTCTTATTTTATTTTTTTTCCTTTTTGCTTTCAGCATCTTACTCTCAATCAAATGAAAAACTTTATTTCTACACCATACATTCTGTTTTAGCTTTTGTTTGTTTTGTATTTTTCTTCTTCAATTTTGCTTCAATTCAAATGTTTTTACGCTTATTCATTAAATTTCTCAAGTGTATCTATTTATTTATTATAATTCTAATTTTTCTATTTCGCATTTTACTTGTTTCAATTTTTTTTCCATTCCTATCTAAATAGAATTCCTTCGTTTATTTTCGAAAGTTTTTATTTTCTCATTCTAACTCGTACTTAAAACATTGTTAAAAACCTTATTTAAAACTATATTTATTTCAAAAATATTATTAAGTGCATAATTTCTATCTTTTTTCTCTTTCTGTAGTTTTTTTTGTCTTTATTTGTTTGTTTTTTCTTTATTTATTCATTTTTACGCTTATTTTTCTCTTCTCCAACTTTTTCTGTTTCACTATCGGATCCTTTATTTCCTAAGTAGCTTTCCTCGTTTTTATTTCTTATGAAGTGTATTTTGTTATCTACAATTTTTTTTATCTTTTTTAATCTATTCTATTCTATGTTCGCATTTTTATACCTTCTTTTATTCTAAATTATTTATCTCTGTCATCTCTTCGTGTCTCTTTTTTAAATATTTCTACATTTCTCTTTTAAATCCGACTTTGCAATTGTTTGTTTCAATTTACTTATTTTAAACGTTTATCATTTCCTTTTTGCTTTCAGCATTTTTCATCTTATTTTCATTCAAACCAAAAACTTTATTTCCACATCATAATTTCTGTCTTTGTTTTTAGTTGTTTATTTTGCATTTTTCTTAAGTTTTGTTTAAATTCATATTTTCTTTTGACCATTATTCATTTATTTTTTTGTATCTTCTTCTCAGCTATTTTATACTCTTAAGTTCTTTGTTTTGTTTTTTACCTCTATTTCTCGATTTTTTGTTTAACTTGTCTTGCTGGCAAAATCTTTATCGTTTTTTTTTCAAATTATACTTTTTTATTGAGTTTTTGCTTTACTTTAACTTTGTACATTTTGTACTTTTTGTTTGATCTTATTTCAGTCAAATAAAAAAACTTTATTCCTACTTCATGCATTCTGTCTTTGTCTATAGTTGTTTGTTTTTTATTTTTTTTCTTAAGTTTTGCTTAAATTCGCTTATTTATTAGATTTTTTTATATTTACTTCTTTTAATACATTGAGAACGACAAATTCTAAGTTTTTTGTTTTGTTTCAAACCTCTATTTCTCGTTTTTTAAATAATTCTTGTCTTTCCAACTCTTCTATCTCATTGTTTTTTTATTTTCCAAGCTATTTTATTCTCCTTCCTGATGGTTAATTTAACAAAATATAGTATTTTTTATTCCAAAATCTTTGTCTTTCAGTCCCTTTCGTTGTTTTTTACTTTTTACTTTTTTTCGTATTATTTTTCTTGTTTCTTTATGATTATTTTCTTCTTTTCATATTCAGTTTGTTTTTATTTTTTATTTTCTGTGATTTCTCTTATGCCGTCTTGGTTCCAGAAGCAACGGCCAAGCAACCGGCGGTTCGCCTCTCGGCTTCAACGAGCTCTTCAACGAGTTCCGTCTCCAGGAAGGTCTCCACTCCATGGACGAAATCCTGGGTGTGATAATCGATCCCGAAGGAATGTCATTCAACGACTTGAAACCAATCTACAAAGAATTCCTCCTAAAACTCTCCGTCACATTAACAAAAGACGAACTATACCAACGTTCAAAATCGATAATGCGTCGCCAGAAGAAGAAACTTTTGCGCCGAAATAGCCTTCAACCAAAACCCTCCTCTCATCACATCTTAGTCGGAAACAAATTCAAACGTCTCAAACACATTTTTCGAAAAAACTTAAAACTCAAACTCGGAAAAAACAAATCTGGGTCCGACCCCGGCCCCGACCCGAAAATCCCCGAAAGCAGTATTTCGACATCGAGTTACGACACTCGGCAATTCTCGCCACGCGAAGAACAAGTGAAGAAAATTGCTAAACGCCGCGACCGGATTTCCACATCGGAAGAAAGCGATTTTTTCAGTCTGAGGCGGAAAAAAATGTCGGGGAATCACCACCACCAAAATCGGAACTCTTCGAGTGGTTACGTCTCGTGTTCGGAATGTTCGTACGACAGTGACACTTGCACTTGTGTCTCAGCCGATAAGTGTTATTGTTCATTGGGCAATAAACACGTCCCTAAGAAAAAAAATCAATGTGATTGCAATCTGGACGGTCCGGTGACGTTTTGTGGGTGTGATACCGACTCATGCACTGAAAGTAATAAATGTTATTGTCAAAATCCTCCCCGGAAGAGCACAATTCAAGAACTGAAACGCCGGAGTTTGAAGAAAGACCGGAAATTGTGTCGCAGGGCTTCGAATTCCCGGAGTACAAAAAGTTTGGAGTACATTGGGCCGTATTATGAGAAATTGGGGTCGAAGAGGAAGAATTACAATGGGGTGGCGGTGGATTATGAGCTGTTCAGTGTGAGGAGTGGGAGAGGGAGGAGTGAAGGAAAGCACGGGAAATATGGCGCGAGAAGTAAGTATGAGGGAGGAAATTGATTGAGAAATAATAGAGTAATAAAGTGGTTATTACGTCAAATATGACAAGGGAGAAGAATTAAAATGATATGTTTAGTGAGAGAATAAAGGGTGAAATTGCTACCTTCATATATCAAAGAAACTTAATTATTATTAACCCAATTTTGTGCCATTTTCTTATGTTTTGTTAATACCTTTTTTACAAAAAATTCAACATTTGTGTCATTTTAGAGCAAAAGTAATTTTTTAATCTTAAAATAGTCGATTTACCTTAAGTTGCAAAAAAGTTTGAAATATGGTTTTCTAGACGTAAAATCAACAAATTTTTATTTATTTTTTATTTTGTAAATTGCGACAAAACTGCACCTCAAAGATTATAAAATTTTAACGTAAACATATGTAAAATGTTCCGGGAAATCAATTGACGTCAAAAAAAACTGCAAAATTCGTAATAGTTTTATAGTTATAGACGAATTTACATTTTTGATATTTTTGACTGATCTTTTTTGTATACATATCATAGAAAATTAAATTTTCTCCCCAAAAGTATCAGACATAAGAGGTTATCACTAATAAGTCCGGAGTTATTGCCAATAGAATGCCAAAAATCAACCAAAATCTCAACAAAAATAAAAAAAAATTCAACTTTAAAATTGGTCTATATAACGTTTTTTTTTACAAATGTAAAAAAAACGTTATATAGACCAACTAGAAATCTAGAAGTTTTAAAAACTCAAAAAGGTGCGTAAAACGCTAATGGGTCAAGTTTAAAAAATTCCGAATTTTAAGTAAAATCAACAAATTTTAACTTTTTTTTTATTTCGTAAATTGCGACAAAACTGCTCCTCAAAGATTACAAAATTTCAACGTAAACATATGTAAAATGTTCCGGAAAATCAATTGACGTCAAAAAAACTAAAAAATTCGTAATAGTTTTGAAGTTATAATCGAATTTATATTTTCCATATTTTTGACTTAATCAAAAATTTTCTCGATAACTATTTGTTTTAGAACACTCTTCTTTTTTGTGTATAATAGAAAAGCAAATTTTCTCCCCAACGGTACTAAATAAGACCGAAGTTATTGTCAATAAACCGCTCCGTGTGCCAAAAATCGACCAAAATCACGACAAAAATTTAAAAAAAGTTAACTTTAAAATTGATCTATAAAACGTTTTTGTAAAAACTCAAAAACGTGCATAAAACGCCATTAAGTCAAGTTTTAAAAAAAATGAGGTTTTCTAGACGTAAGTAAAATCAACAAATTTTTCCTTTTTTTATTTTGTAAATTACGACAAAACTACACCTTAAAGATTATAAAATTTTAACGTAAACATATGTAAAATGTTTCGAGAAATCAATTGACGTCAAGAAAACTCCAAAATTCATAATAGTAATTTATGTTTTCGATATTTTTGGTTTTATCAGCAATTTTTTCGATAACTATTTATGGTAGAACACTAATCTTTTTTGTATATGATAGAAAATTAAGTTTTCTTTCCAACGGTACCAAACATACGAGGTTATCATCAATAAGTCCGAAGTTATGAGCAATAGGCCACTGCGGGTCCAAAAATCGACCAAAATCTTGACAGAAATGAAAAAGAATTTCAACTTTTTTACATTTTTAGCGGTCTCAAAGACTCAAAAAAGTGCATAAAACGCTGTTGGGTCAAGTTTAAAAAATTAAGAATTTTTTGAGTTTTTCTAGACAAGTTTTTTTTATATTTTTTTATTTTGTAAACTGCAACAAAACTGCACCTCAAAGATTATAAAATTTCAACATAAACATATGTAAAATGTTCCGGGAAATCAATTGACGTTAAGAAAACTCCAAAATTTAGAAGTTATAGTCGAATTTATATTTACGATATTTTTAATCTTATCAGCAATTTTCTCGATAACTATTTATCGCAGAACACTAATATTTTTTGTATATGATAGAAAATTAAATTTGCTTTTCAACGATCATAAGTACAAGAGGGTAGCGCCAATAATTCCGGAGTTATTATCAATAGACTGCTATTGGTACCAAAAATCGATCAAAATCTCGACCAAAAAAAATGTAACTTTAAAATATAATAATATAACGGTTTATACATTTCTAGAGCTCCTAAAGACTCAAAAAAAAGAGCATTTAACATTATTGGGTCAAGTTAGAAAAATTACAAATTTTTGGATTTTTTGAAGGTGAGCGGTAAAAATAGTCAATTTACCTTGAATCATCGTAAAAACGCTTAAAATATGGTTTTCTAGGCGTAAAATTATACGCTGAGCATATTGAGTAATAAAGTTAAGAATAGTTTAGATATTTCTGACTTATCAGCAATTTTCTCGATAACTATTTATCGTACAACAATGATTTTTTTTTTCATATAATAGAAAATTACATATGCTTTCAAACTGTACTAAACATAAAGAGCTAGTGCTAATAATCCCATAGTTATTGGCAATAAACCGCTTCAAGTACCAAAAATTGACCAAAATCCCGTCAAAAATCAAAAAAATCGACAATTTTTAAACTGATCTTTCTAACTTTTTTCACATTTTTAGAGGTCCTAGGGACTCAGAAAACGTTATTTGGACAAAACGCAAGTTTTATTTTTCAATTAAAAAATTGAAAGAAAAATAAAGTGGGAAATTTTCTCGTTAAAAAATAATTTTTCCGCAAATTAGACCTTCCACCCTTTTAATTTAATCGAGGCCATGTCAGTGTCGCCAACCCCATTTACAAAACCGCCACGTCTCCCGTCGTCATCAATTCAATCCCGGAAAAATAGGCCAGGGTTGAAACCCTCACGAATACGCAATTTCTTGAATGTTTTATTTTTCCCCCAGATGATCATCGCACATTACAATCCACTGCCATTTCCGGCGCCTGTACCGAAGCCCTCTCCGTGAAAAAATCCGCCGAAATCGCGGCCCTCTTCGCCGACATCAAACTGAGCCAAACCACCGACATTGCCCATTTGACACCCCGGACTTGTGACATGGACACGATTATTTCATCCCGGAACGCTTACAACAAACTGAAATCGCAACACGATGCCAAAAAAATCATTCAAAATGGGCTCTATGTGAGGAATAATCCCAAAATGTACAGTGCCCGAAATGGGCTATACACCATCCAGAGCCAATCGGACGAATCCAGACGCTCCAGTTTGAGCGAAGACAAAAACTATTTTGATTTGACAAAAAAAAACAGCAGTAATCTGGAAAATTCGTTAGGTTATCTGCCCTAGTGGGGAAAAAATGCCATTTCTTTCGTTTTGGGGGGGTTAAAGATTCGGTAGGGTTGCTAGAGGGAGACTATTTTAATTAAGTGCAATAACATGAAATGTGCAATATTCTTATTTATGTGCAATAATTAGCTATAAGAAATAAAGATTTTATCTCAAATTGCGTTTTATTTAATTTAATTCAAAAACTGACCAGTTTGAAACATGAGAGTTTCATTAAATAACCTTCTGACCTTAATTATAAGCAAGTTAGTTGGTAACCGAAACAATTTGCAAGTTTTGTTAAAAATCTAATCAAGTTTATAATTTTTTTGATTGATTATTTTATTTAAAATTTGGCGTTGAGACGACTCAAATCAGTGATAAGTAAATTAGTTTTACAAATTTTTGGAATTTAATCGTAATTGCTTAGAATTATTTGGAAGTTTTTGGAATTATTGAAATTATTTTTGGATTGTCTGGAATCACCACCATAATTTTAATTACTAGAATTACCACATTTTTAATTAATCTGAAAATAATCGATTAATAAAATCACTGAAATTGAATTTCGGATTATCGGAGATAATTTCTTTCGAAAATTACGTTGAATTTCCTGGAGTTAATTCGAAATTACTTTTTAAAAGTACAAAATTACGGAAATTAAGTTGGAATTAAGTTGGATTACAGGAATTAATTTAGATTTTTAGGAATTGAATTAATCTGAAAACAATGGAATTACAATGGATTTGAATAGAAGAAATTGCATTACCAGAATTACTTGTAAATTACAAAATAACGTTAGGTATCTTAAAAGTGTCGTAATTAATTTTTAATTACGGAAATTATATGTTGGAATTAAGTTGTAATTACAAGAATTAACTTAGAATTAATCCGAAAACTATTAAATTACGTTGAATCCAATATTAATCAATAGAATTATTGAAATTGTATTTCGGTGGATTTTTTTAATTACTTATAGAAATTATTTGTAAAATACTGAAATATTTTTAAAATTACTAAAATTATTAAGTTGGAATTAAGTTGGCATTACAAAAATTAATTTAACATTGTACGAATTAATCTAAAAACAATGGAATTACCGTGGAATAATAGAATTACTGGAATTGAATTACCGAAATTATTTGTAAATTACTCAAATTTACTAAAATTTCTAGAATGTTTTTAGAACTACATACTAGAATTCTTCTTGCAATTATCGGAGATAATTTATTCTTTTGAAAATTACGTTGAATTTCTTAATTAATTTGGAATTTAAATTGAAATTATTTTGGAATTTGGAATT